TAAAATATTTTATACTGTAAGATCTTGATATGTATAATACTAGTATGTTTGTATGCTTAGTTATGTGAAATTTTAAATTTACGCTACATAATAGTATAAAGGAAATTAATATAAAATATTAGTTAGATGGTGATAAAACTCTAATTATAATAAATAACATGGATGTATCATCAAAGGCCATAATTCAAGTTTCAAGAGAAACACGTGTAGTCACCAACAATAACTATCACAACCCTAGTTAATACTAGTCTTGTTACTCACAATAAAAATTCTAATACGAACAACAAAAATTTAAAATTTTATTTATTTCATAAATTTTTATTTAGCATAAACAAAATTTAAAGAAATTGAAAATATTGTATTAAAAATATAAAATATTATTTTAAAAAATATTTTACAAAAATACTAAACTTTAACCTATTGTGAAGCACAAACTATTAAATACTTACAACAGTCATTTAACGAGTAGGTAACGTAGGGGACTGCCACGTAACCCTTACATATGCTTTATCACCCCTACAGTGGTGCTAAATTTGCCTCTTTAAGAATCAAATCAAATTTGTGGGTATTTATTTATTTAATAATTTATTTTTGTTATTCTCACGAAATTAGCAATACATGCAGTGTACGTGAAAACACAACTCCAAACAAGAAAATTATTTCATACATTTTTTGGATAAATAATTTTAAAAATTACTTTATTTTTTTGTCAAAAGGCCAAGAGTTTTAAATTTCTTAAAAGTTATATTTAAATTAAGGCTTTTATAATTTTATTTTTTTTATTTTTCATCCGATTTAATTTAGATCTGATCCGGATGATGCATCTAAATGTGGTGAGTGAGTCTATTACTAAATATTTTTTGTATACACAAAAACTAAGGTTTTTATAAATTTTAACATGGTAACTAAAATTAATATTTTGGTCTTTTTATATATATATATATTTTTTTTAGTTTACTCCTTTAAATTTTGCTTGTTTATTTAGGTATTTTTTATTTTAATTTTGTCCTATTTATAAATTATGGCAATTTTTGGTCATAAATTTTATTTTTTGTTAATTGTGATAATTTTCACTATTGTAATTGAAAAGTAGAATAAGTTGAAATCAAACAAAAAGATAAAAAAAAATTAAAATAAAATTAAAAGACTACTATATTAATTTTATACATGATATTATTATTTTAATTTTTCAGAATCTTTTTAAGCATTCATCATTATGGAAAATACTTGTTATCATATAATCAATATTCCCTTTTCCTTCATTAATTGTGTTTTCCTGATTAAGTGACCTACCACATTCTTAAGATTATATTTGAGTAAAATAAAAAATAATTGATAAGTTAATTCAAAGTTAAAAAATAATAATTTTAGATGAAAGTTAGTAAGTAAATTTATTGAATTTATTAGTGAAAAAAAAAATCTTTTACGTTGATTAAAAATGGCATCAACCAATATAGTTGGCGAGGAGATTTTTATTAATCAATTGACAAAAAAAATATAATATTCTGCATCAGTTGATTAATGAACTGATTTAGAAAGTATTCTTCTAGTTAATATTCGTCAATGATATCATTATTCTTCTAATAGTTTAACAAACACTTTTTTAATAATGTCAATATTTAGTGTCAATATTTACTCATGATTAATATCTGTTGAGTTTATAAATAAAAAATATGCAGTATTTATCATTAATGTTTATTAATATTTACTCAAAATTTAATCTTTGTTTAATTTGTAAATTAAAAAAATATACAATATTCATTAATATCGTATACCAATGAATTAAAGAAAAAGAAAATAAAAAATGAAGTAAGATAAAATTATTGATATACCTCGTAAGATTTTATTTTTATCAATGGCATAGCTAACATAAATTTGAGAATGTAAATAAGAGTTTATGTTCATCAATGACAAAGACCCTAACAAAAGTTTAAAAATGTAAGTAAGAATTTATATGTTGTCTTCAATTTATTTTCATTGACGCATTCTTTAAAATGTTCTATTTTAAATTAATTTTACATCTATTTTAAAAATAACCAATATAAAAAGTATTTCTACATCAATTCTAAAAATAACTAATGTACAAAACACTTTTTTTATTAATTTTAAAAATAATTTATGTAAAAAGATTTACAATTTCTCGCTATTATAGTTATATTTTTTATATGATCTCAAAAACAATCTAAATATAAAAAGTTCTGCAATTGTTTGTCTTTATAGTTATAAATTTTAAATGAATATAACTTTTAGCACAAAAAATTGATTTATGCAAATTATATGTTTATTTTATATAATTTTTTGAGATTTATCTAATCTAAATATTTATAAGGAGTCTAACAAATTCTTTTTCTGAAATTCTAATTATTTTCTCTATTTTTCAATTTTTTTACTTTTTACGTTAATTCAATTTAAACTTATGTAAAAACACCTTCTACGTCAATTATTTAGATAACTTATATTAAAAATTTGTTGTAAATACAATTATTTTTACTAGTGATTATAAATATTTAATAAATTAATTAATAAATACATAACATAATTACACTTTTAATTTTTATATTTTAAGTTTATGTGCAATATTAGTTTTTTTTAATTTTACTTGCTTGTATATATTTTTATAATTTTTTAATTGTCCAAATTAATTCTCATATCTCAAGTCAAGTGATCTAAATTCGCTTATGAATCTATTTATGTTTTCATTAAATAATTTACAAATTAGTCTAATATGTTAAATAACACAATGACTTGTCAAACATACAAACAATTTGAATTTGGTAATGAAAACAAGATTTTATCAATTTTTTTTAACAAGAATATCTAAGTACTTTAAAAAAAAACTACCTAACATTAACTTATAATAATCATATAAATTTAGAAAAGGCACTCAAATTTTGAATCTCATCCTTAACCACTGCTATTAAAAAAAAAAATTACTTTTAGAAACGAAATTTAGAGAGAGAAATTAAAATCTCTCTCAGGAGTGGAGACGAATTTTAAATAAATATTTTTTAATTGTTTTCAACAAGTTCAGAGAGAATATTTTCTTTCTAAATTTTTCCTCTTAAAATCCCTATTTGAACATGCAAATCAAATTTAGAGACGAAATTTGAGATACAAATATCCCTCTTAAAATTAATTCATCACTATTTTTTTTTTGGTAAAATTTAAGAATAATATTAAAGAGGGACTTCGATAGGTAATGTTCTGTCCTAAAAAATTTATATATTTAGAGAGAAAATTTTGAGAAAAAATTATTCATATCAAATATAATTTAGCACAAAATTTGTCACAAAGATGGAATTTCCTTGAATAGTTTCCTCTCTAATGTTTTTATCATCTATTTATATAAATATATTAGTAGATTTTTTTAGTTACTAATGATTTTATAAAAAAATCAATCATCTAAATATTTATTAATTAAATTTAATATATTTTAATCGTTGTTTTATTTTAAAGTTTGATTCTTATGTAAATAATATTAGATTTTTTAATAAATATATTTAATTATTTGTTAAAAAATATACAGTAACCATTAATAAAACTAACAATTTTTTACATACACTGCACAACAATCATTAAATTAAATAAATAAATAAATTTTTTAAATAATTAATTAAAAATATGTTATATAAATTTTTAAATTTAATAAAATTAATAAATTCAAAAGGAGAAAGTATAATATTTATTAGTAATAAATATATTATATAAAATAAAAATTAAAAAATAAATTATAAGAAATTCAAAACTAAATTAATATTGAAGTAAAAACAATAAATATATAATATAGAAAAAAATAGTAATCATCGTGGTGAAGAAAATGACAAAAATAATAAATAGGACTAAAATTTCAAGACCAAATTTTTGACTAATGAATTATAACCATTAATGAAATGTTAATTTTTCTACATTAAACTTAAACAGTGACGACCATCATTACTTATACATTCTTTCGTTATAATCTGCACAAAAGATTTGTATCTCTTAGCAAAGCTTAAAAGCCAATCTTTAAAATGCTCTCATCTGAAAATGTCTTTAAAAACATTCTCGTTCAAAAATAATAATCGAAAAACTCCTTCAAGAATTAATATTTATCAATCATATATAGAGGTTGATATCATATTTATAAATAAAATGTTAATTATTTATTTTAGACAAAAATAAAAATATTTTAAAAATAACCTACTCAAAATTATTTTGTTCAATTGGTGTCACTCTATATTTTGTGAATATTTTATTATAATTTGGTTCATTTATCAACGTATAAGTAATTTAATATATAACTATGTTTAAATAGAGTTAGTTCATTCATCTCAAGAAAGACATGTTTATTATAAGAGCAGATATCTCAGCAAAAGTTTGCTTTAGCTCAATCATCTTCACGGTCTCTATATTCAAATTCACCTATAGACAAAGATGACCAATAATACTTTAATTTGTATAAGAAAAACATATCATTCTTATACAAATTATGACATTCATAAAACATTGTTTTTAATAAAAAAAAAATTAAATCAAGTTTGAATAGTTTAAATAACAGAATCATTAATAAAATTACACTTGCTCTAGTAATTCATTTACCTTATATGAATACTAAGCGTGACAAAGACAAATGGAGAAACATTTATAGGGACATGCACAAGGACAACATCTTACTCGTGCATTCACGCACACTCATAGGTTGGTCAAACATAAAACCCACTATAGCAATTACCCCTTTTCATATGGGACGTGTCCTTCTTTTTATTTCCCACTTTCTCTCTTTAACTTCCTTGTGGCGTGTACCAACCGCAACTACCCAACCATGCTCTCCAATCAAGTACATATAAATAATAACATTCATACTGTCACGTAGCTTCACTTTCTTGGTCACCAATCTTCTTCATTTGGATTCCAATGATAACAACCCTTCTTAGTGTTTGACATGTTTCCCTTCTCTTTGTGTAAACTGCAACTTCTTCATTATTTAATTGTTAGCTTCAATTCTATTGGTTTATGTATGTATGGATAATTTGCTATGTGATGAGGTGTGGCTTTCAAGGTCTCAAAATACTTGTGAAGTTGTTGAGTCTGTTGCACTCAAAAATCATGAAAATGAAGAGTTTGAACAGGCTTTTACAGTGTGTCTAGAGAAGGAGGTCTTTTACATGCCCGAATCTGACTATACTAAGTACTTGCAGTCCAACAATTTGATCTTTCCTAGGTTTCGAGTAATTCAATGGTTTATCAAGGTCAGTTTTTCTTGGAATTTCAAAATTTTAACACCATAAAAGCTTTGCTGCTTCTTTGTTTTGTTAAATTATTTCAAAATTTTAAAAATAGTATTTTGTTTTAACCATACAAATTTTTAGAAACCCAAAAAAATAATTACAATTATTTTCACTGATTTGTGTAAACATAAAATAATTTTAAAATGATTTCCCAAGCTAAACTAAATATGTCCTTACCTTGTCCTTTTCTCTTTCCGAATTATATTGAGCAAAATTACAACACTAACAATTCATTGCATTAACCATTTTACCCTTCGTTCTCTCATGTGTATGCAGTGTAGAAGTCGCTTTAATCTTTATTTTGGGACAATCTTTTTTGCTGTTAATTACCTTGATCGCTTTGTGTCCATTTGTCAATTCAATGTAAGGATAGCCGGCTATTGATCAGTTTACAATATTTGTTATTTTCTCAATTCTCAGTTCATCTATATAGCTAGGCGTATATATGTTTGAGAAAAAGAGTTAAGAATAAGCATTGCTTATACCAGGATTGGGAATACTGGATGCTTGAATTGCTTTCTATTGCATGCTTATCAATTGCCACAAAGTTCAACGAGATATCACAACTTTCCTTGCATGAAATTCAGGTGATTGTTATATTAATTGTGTATTTGAATTAATAATCAATTATATATATATAATATTAATTAATTAATTCTATATGCAAAGTAAGTTTTATTTTAAATATGCTAAGTTAGAAGTGATTTTAAAATAATCTACATAAAATATATTTTTTTTGTCATAAATTCCAAAATTTTACTCATCCTAAGAAGTCATTTCCTTTATAAAAAAATTATAAACTTTTTAAAAATTTATCAAACAAAAAAATAGTGCCTTCTTAAGTTTTCTTTTCACACAATGCACAAAATAATCTAATTTAAATACACACGGATTAATTTATATTATTCATGCTAATTTTCTGAGTATTATTGATAACGTCTTGTGGCTTTTCCTTCTTCATGGTTGAAGATGGAGGGCTTGGACTATTCATTCCAATCAAACGTAGTTTTGAGAATGGAGGTGATAATATTGAAGGCGCTGGGTTGGCGCCTTAACTCTGTGACAAGTTATTCTTTTGTTGAAATGGTAGCTTATAACGTTGATAACTTGGGACCTCATCTTTATGAGAAGCTTATTTCACGAGTCACTGAGCTGCTTGTCCAAGCTATAATAGGTAAATATGCAATGATGTCATATTCCGCGATTATAATGATACATAAGAATGTTTCTTTCACATGATTGTTATTCTTAACTAGGAAGTATCAATATTTTGCTTACTTATGCTCAAAACTTCATGTGGCAGATCAGAAAATGCTGGAATTCAGGCCAAGCATTGTTGGTATTTCTGCATTATGGTGCACTCTAGATCAGTTATTTCCACCAATATCAGATGCTTACAATGCATATATTATGAGACTCTTGAGCCAAAGTCAGAAGGTCATAATTTATATTTATATTTATATTTGTGCTTTTTTATTGATATAAAATATTTCACTAAATAATTAGTGGCTTTCTCTTGATCCAGGATGATGTCAGCAAGTGTCACAAGTTGATGAAAACAAAGAGTTCATTGTGTGGTGAAAATTACCATTACTGGCCTTTGAGTCCAACAACAGTACTATTGAATACGCTGACTCGCATTTATGATTGCTAACTCAATCACTTCATCTGTATTTCTCATTTTCGATGCATCATTGATCAAACAAAAGCTGGAAGAGTTACCTAAACAAATTATCTGAATATATTTCTATGTATGTTTGTGATCTTCATTTCCTGTGGTCAAAAAATAGGTAATACTTTGAAGATAGATTATGTGGAAGGAGAATAGGGAATGTGACGAAAAGCTTCAATAGAGAAACGAAGATTAACATCTTTAATGTAGACAGATTATCCATTGGTTTTAAGGCATTTCGTATTCTGCTTTTCGGGATAAAATGGAACTATTTTTGTATATTTTGTTTTGTCAATTACAATTACACACACTGTATTGCCGCTTGTTTCTTTCTTGAAGGCTTATTAAATAAGGCTTATAGTATTCTAGGCCACAAATTGATTCCTTTAAGTCATGTTGATGTACCTGATTTTAAATGCCTACAAAAAGAATTTTCTGTGATATTTAGGCAGTTTTGGCTATCAAGATCCACTATTTGCAATGACCGTTAAGGTTCGAGGTTCTCACTCTAGAACACATATGCCTCGTTAAGTTTACGAACTTAAGATTGTGAAGCTTCACAAGACATTCTGTGAAACAACTGATGTCACGTGTAGTTTTGTCCTCTGAATGGTAGTTTGGTCCTCTGAATGGAGTAAAAACAATTTTGAGTCTCTTATTTACATCCATCTAAATAGAGTCTCTTTTTCGAAATAATTACTTCCAGGACTTTGCTATTAGCAAGAGTCCAACTCATATCCTAACACTGCCAATTATACGCTTCCTTGCCTCAAAATACTAGAAATAACACTAAATCATACACAAAAAAGTAGCACTCATACCAAAGAGAAAAAAAAGTAGCACAATCAAATCCTTGGTAAGTTTGCTTATACATAAAAGATTCCATTTCAATAGAGGAACAAATAAAACACCTGTAATCCTAATATTACAGGAAATAGTTAAAACAGAAAAAAAGAAAACAAATATTCAGTTTGACTGATAGACATACTCAACCCAAATAAGGAAATAAACAAGGTGCAATAAAACTGATATATCAGAATTAATCAATTGAAGAGAATAATCAGCATGTGACTAACATCAATTCCGCATAATCAAATTAGATTCTCTATAATAATAACTGGAGAATAACTTCCCTAAAATTATTCAGTTCACTAGGATGTAGTGAATATATAACTGTCACAGCATTGCTGTTTTACAATCTCGGAATATTTTATAAAAGAGCAACAAAGAGCATATAAACAGAGTAACATTCATATGATTATTTCCTCCCCCTTGAAATTGCTCCAGGTAAGAAAAAGGTTCTGGAAAGGGACTAGTTACAATTATACAAGCCAGCATCTCAGCAACTTCTGCATATTAAAACAGAACAGAAAAGAGACGCCACTTTGATGAGGTGAGCATATTAGCTAGAGCTTGAAATAAGTTCTGCATGCAAAGCTATGCTTTTAGTGGCAGTTCTTTGTGAGTGTAACTAACCCCTCGATCACCATCAACCACATGCCCATTCCCTCTCAATATCCTGCATTATATCCACAAAATTTAACAATGGGCGAACACATGGTCTTGAAATAGTTTAAGCCTAACATTACCGGAAAAACACTTCATGGATATGGAGAACATATGGTAAGAAATTAAAAGAAAATACTAATTATAGTAAATAATACCATACCAGACAAGTATGCATGATTAAGAAGGTAGGAATATGTTTCCTGCACATATTTTATCACACCATTCCTTACACCTTATTTCAGGGGAAGTGAAGGGGAGGGAAGTGTGAGTTTCCTTTCCTTTGGTTTATTACTCAAAAAGGGATCTGGTTTAATGTAAGAATGATGTAGTAATACATTGTGCACAAACAATATTGTTGAAGGCTTGAAGCAAAAATAATATAACACAAAAGACAGACCCAAATAACAAATATCAACGATTGCATATTTGTTTAGTATAAAATTCTATTTTCTTCATTAAGAAGCCTAGAGATTAGGGCAGAATCCATACCATCTGTTTGTTAGCAACCCTTCAACTCCCACAGGACCTCGAGCATGAATTCGACTTGTACTTATTCCAACCTGTTCAACAATTAATAGAACCAAGAACAAGATGAGAAAATAAAATCTCTATGCAACTATTAACAATAGGCTTTCAATACGATACATTACCTCTGCACCAAGCCCAAAGCGTGCTCCATCACAAAACCGTGTACTTGCATTGTGGAATACAGCAGCACTGTTTGTGCATGAGACAAATATGAATATATTCCATAATCAAAAGGAAGTAAAAGGACTAATGAACTCAAAAACATTGAAGCACGAATGCTATTTCAGGTTGAAAATGGTATTATGTCTAAATAAAGATACTACGTCCACTCGTTATAAGAAAATGAACAATTCATCAGAACCAATGAAAACAGTTATGAATTATAAATTTATATTTTGTTCCTACTCGTATTGCTAAATGGTTGAATGGAGAATGGGTAAATGTGTCATTAGTACAAATCTCACAACAAAATAAGGGTGTAAAAGGAATTATAGCAATTAATGCACCTGAAAATGGATGTGTGTGTGTTATAATTAGGACCAAGAAAATACTCATTATTTCTCATAAGAAGGATCGAAGGTAGAAGTAGTAGTTGGTATCTTCACTGTATGTTGAGAGACAAAAATAAAGAACAATTTAAAGTAGTTCTAGATAGGTGAAAGACAAAAGATCTTCTGCAAAGAGAAGGAGATGGACTGTGTGACAATAATTCTTTGCAATTTAAAAATTTCAGAGACTCAGATCTATGGAGTGATTTTAGGGGGAATGGTAAAGTAGGGTTATGGAATGACATAATTCATAGAAGGAAAACTAATACAAAACCAAACGATTAATCAACCATATGAGCTGAAAGAGTATATCAATATCAGTCACTAAGTTACAGACACCTAAACGCTTTATGCCAGAGTTTAAGATGAGATATAGGAAGTAAGTAGTAGCACAATGACAACAAAAGCCTTTCCACAAAGTAGGGTGTGACAGTGATACAAGACTACCAAAAGAATAAGGAGCATCAGCCCTTGGTTTGCGGAGTTGTAGAAAACTACTAATCTCAATGCGAAGATAAATCTAACAAGTAGAAACAACAACTAACCAACCACAAGTAGGTCGGTCAACATCAAGATGTTTTTTTCTTCTTCACCTTTACAATGAGAACTAGATGGGATAACTGCAATTTTATCAGATTATAAAGATAAAACTTGAGGAAAGTAACTACTACAAATATTTGCAGATTGGTTAAATATTATGCACTAGCCTAACAATAAGATATCAAACTACATGTTTGGGGAAAACAAATTATTAAAAACACCTGAAATCCACTGTCATATCATCATGTTACACTAGTATTTGTTGGAAGCAGAGGATCAAACAAGATTACCGCCAAAAATAAAAAGAACTCTGGACTTACCTGTCAACTCGACTTAAGAAAGTTTCTGCAACATCACAATCTTCTGTAACAATGCATTCAGTATGAGCACTGCAGGAAACAGCAAAGCAATTAAGAAAAATTGTAGACACAATAATGTTAATGATATATAGATAACAGAAATAAAAATCTTTTGGAGGAGCCAAACATGCCTTCCATGTCGATTTATGTGGTCAATGGCAGCAAATACATCCTCTACAACTTCAATTGTGCAAGCAAGTGAACTATACTCATGATGAAAGGAGCTTGTTTCAGCAATATTTAGTAATGCACTAGCCCTTGGTCCACCATACAGTTTAACACCTGCAAGCCATGTTATCTCTATTTATACATTGCTTGCACCTTTCATTAAGGAAAAAAAAGTTTACTAGATGTAAATATGACACTAAATTAATACATAAGAAATTGTATTTCAATTTGGTGAACTCCAAAATGATATAGCTACAGATCAAACTGATCACCTTTGATTATCTTTAATGAAAGTAGTTCAATTTTTTTTCTCGCCTTTTGCTATATGAAGGACCTAAATAAGTTCTATTTCTCTTAATAACTAAATAAGTGCACAATATGCATTGTACGCATGATTTTTCTTTTCTTTAATTGAAAATCATGTCTCAAGATAAAACATCTTTTTTTTTATTCTTTGAAATAATCACTTCAATAATTCACCAGACTGATACCAATCTCTACACTGGGGTCATTTTTACTTCCCTTAAAATGCACATTTTACTTCCGATTCATCTCTCAAGGAAAGTAAGAAATTGAAAACTACTTCAGCACACAGAATTTCATTACGTGATCTAACAATAAATTGGGGGCAGGGGGAGAAAATGGAGAACATAAATATCATAAAACTAATGTCAAAATTCTTCTCATCTCAGAAAGGAGGTTGTTAAAAAAAATAGAAAAAAAAACAAAAAACAAAACAAAGAAGTTCAGTTTACATTAGTACTCTTTGTTATAGATTCATTTTTAAGTAAAGCCAAACCTTCACGTTGGAGTTCAAGGACAAGCTCATTAAGTCCACCGTTATTTGACAGATCCTTGTGTACAAGAAGAGCTTCCTAAGAATACCAGAACAAAATATTTTGATGAGAAGAGACCATAAATTCCATTGACATCAGGCACACCAATTCAATAAAACCCAAAAGGAGAGGAGGATATAGATGAACATGCTTTACTCGCTGCACTGCAAAAATGAGGTAAATGCTAATTACCATTGCATTGCAGGCTGCAGGATAATCAATCTTTGCATCCCTAATAATCTGCTTTGCCATATCAATATTTGCAGACTTGTCAACATATACATGACAAATTCCATCTGCATAACAGAAATAATTTAAAAAAAGCCTTGTTTCTAACTACAAAATAGGAAATAAATATGGAAGAACATTACCAGCATGACCAAGAACAGGAATTTTTGTTGATTCTTTGATTTGAGAAACAAGCTTATTACTACCTCTAGGGACCACAAGATCTATCACATCATCAAGCTGTGACAGCGCATAATTAGTGGACAATTATCACAGAAAAATAATTATAGAATTTTGACTTGTGATATCTAACCTTAAGTAGGTCTGGAATTTCTTCTCTTGAAGTCACAAGACCAATAAGTTTGTCACCCACAGTATCAGGCATTGCAGAAGTAATGACCTACAATAAAAAAGAAATATGGAAGTTATAAATATATTTATAACTGAAATGATGACAAAAGAAACAAATGTCAATTCATATCCTGACTAATCTTATAAAAGAGCAACCACAACTAAAATTAATAAATAAACCTTGTGTAAGACTAAGTTTGATCTTCGGGCTTCCTTCCCACCTTTAAGCAGTAAACCATTTCCACTTCGAATTGCCAATGCAGCTATCTGTTTATCCATTTAACCAAGCAACTTAAAGATCAATAATTCAATATCCAAAACAACTAGATAAATTCAAACAATTTCATAAGTAGTAGTCAAAATATTGCATAAACCAATAGGATGTATTGAAATGACAGTCAACTGATAGGATACTAAATGGATAATTTGTAATCAAGTTCGTATTGTTCTTCTATGCAGTTTATTGAACAAAAATATATAAGGAATAGGAATCTAGAATTAACCTGAACAAGGGCATCAGGTCGAGACTCAAATATAACCAGGAGGACACCCAAAGGACATGATATTTTATCCAGGATGAGTTTATCTGCCAGCTGGACAAGGAAAGCAGCGAATGAGAACTGTCAAAAAGAGTGTTCAACAATAGGATATATAGTGTAATAGTTTTTTTTCAAAGCAGTAACACTGTAACAGACTATACTTTGTTCTTACTTCTTAGATCAAGATCAGTAAACATGAGTTTCAAAATCCATTCTAGAATTTGTAATTTTACCAAATACTATAAACATATTACATACTTCAAATATGTTAAAAGAGGACAATACTGAATATTTCAATATCACATCAATAACTTAACACGTTACTTGCAATTTAGTTTTCTTTCTTTTTCATAAGAGAAGATTTTCATGAAGACAAAGAAAAAAAAAAAAAAGAGATTTCCTTTGAATAAAAGAAAAGGAGTCTTGACCTCAGTTCTTTTTAAAATCTGACCAACTGGTTCTTCCATATCTGCCAGCATGCGCACAGACTTTGCAAGACTAGCAATCTGTAAAATGTAAAGATAAGCATTAGACAAAAACATGCTCACAGAAAAGCTTTAGCATGCTAGCAACTTGAGAAATGGGTGTTAGACAGAGACAAGAATGGAAATTTGGGCTTGCCATCCTTCCATATTTAACTACAGTATGCAACAAATTAAACTCTTGCCTTCTCAGGTTTCAGGGTCAAACGTGATATCAGAGATTTTTCATATCCAGCTGTCTCAGCATCAGCAACATCAACCTCATTTTCAATCCTTATCATACTTTCATTTTTCTCCAACGCATCTGCTACTGCAAGCAATATCTTCCTCCTTTCTTCAGAGTTTAGGGCCTGACACCAAAAGCATCAACATTCAAATGACTACCCTATTTCAGTTCATATTGAGCATAACCAAAAATTAATAATAATAGAAAGTAAATCACCACCTAAAAATTTTATATTGATAGAAGCAACTCAAACCTACAACACTCATAAATATGTGACGAGTAAGTCCTACATTTGTCCTTCAATGATTAGTATTTCTCCACATTATTCCTTGAAAGATTTTAATCACCATATTAGCACTATATAAATACAAAACTGAACTCAAGCGTTTCCTTTCTGTGACACAAATTAAGTGGGCCATAGGGACATATGTAGCAACGTTTTTTATCTTTAATGAACTAATTTGGTAACAAAACTTTAAAGACTAATCTGATGATATGCTAATCTTTGGAATATAAATTTAGGAATTTACTGAGCATGTAACGGTATTTACCTGAAGTTGTCTAGAACTCTCACGCGCTGCAACTGCCATTTCACGTGCACTCACTTCCTTTATATTGGTCCATAAATGAGCATCTTTATGAAATACAGTACCTATTCTTTCCCCTTGAAGCACACGTAAGATGTTGTTTGTAGCATAGCCACTTGAACAGAGATTGAAATACAATACAAAGTCAATAAGTGCAAAATCCAAATGCATACATGAAATTAAGCACTACATGCAAATTATTGCTCACAACAGAAATCAGAACCCTTTTTCATCTCTTGAATTATTTTCAAGGTAATAGATACTTTAAAATACCAATGGTTGCAAGAAAAAAAAATTCATTTCTTTTTCTCTTTTTCATTCCCTTAGAATGACAAGCACCACAAGCCACTATAGATAGCATAATAGAAACAAGCATTATACTTATTCAAATTGATGAAAACCATCAGATGCACTCTATAGTCTATATGACTTAATGGAATATCTACATTTGCATGTCAACTCAAATGATAACCAGAAACTAAATGTTGTATTAAAAGGGGGGAACACAACCATAGATGCACTTTCAAGACCAAAAAAATCATTTGTAAATCCGTTCATGAGAGAATCTCATGCATTCCATTCTTTCTAGATGCTGTCCATTATTTTACAAATTCAGCATGAGTAGGTCACTCCCCAAATGGTCAACCCAAAAGTGAATTAATTAAAACAATTTTAGTATGGTATAAAAGTGAAACAAAAAAATAGTTATCTTCAGTGCATGAATTTTCTATGAGTAAAATCACAGAACAAAAATTTTAGGTACCTAGTTATAATAACCGGGATACCAGCACAAGCAGCACAAACAGCAGCATTAACTTTCGCAGTCATACCCCCTCTTCCCAATCTTGACTTGTCTCCAAAAGTAATTTCCTCTTGATGTTTCTCTTTTATATATGTATGGATCAACTTGGAGTTTGGGTCACTTGGAGGACCACTATAAAGGCCCTCAACATCACTCAATAAAACAAGGAGGTCAGCCTTAAGTTCAAGGGCCAATAGACCCGCCAAACTGTCATTGTCCCAGAAAATACCAGAAGAATCCTGCACGCAGTGCTTACAATTTAAGATAATCACTTATTAGATATTACAAAGCCACCGACCATGTAGCCAAACCCACCTAGTGGGACATGGCTTGTTTCGTTTTTGTTAGTGTACATATCAGAAAGCCAATAAAATCAAACTAAAGTGTTGTTGATGTAACAGGGTTCTGACTAAGGCATTTTGACCATACTATCACAGGTCACAACAAACTAAGGGAAGATATTTATCAAAAGAAAACTCAAACGTATTGAAAATAAACATTATGGAGATAAGTCAAATAAAATAATGGAAAAAAATTAGGATACCTCGTATGGTGCCTTCCTAGTACTAACAGCATCATTTTCATTGAAAATGGGAATAACCCTTAAATCTAACAATGAGTTCACTGTGTCTGAAAGTTGTTTTCTGAAGCCAGCATCCCTGAAAAACCCATCATTCACTAGAAGTTGGGAAGAAGTAACATCAAGCTGCACCAGGAAAATCTCATATCAGCGTTGTTATGGAGGAAAAAACATCACTTTCCAGTGTATTAATTAAGGAAAAGAAATCATATATTGCATTGGGATGATATTGAATAAACAACTTAGTATTTTGTCAACCTGACTGAACATGGTATCATAGAGAGCCATGAGACTACTTTGCCCAACAGCTGCACATGCTTTTCCATCAAGCTCACCCTGTGGCTTTTGAAGATCAGAAAAGCTGCATCACAAATAAACAATTTCTTTTAGTATCATCACTCTCACCCTAAATTCAACCGCAAATTAATAGAAAATGAACAAATTTACATTAACTCCTCCAATTCCTACATGGGTCCAATCCTAATTACACAATTGGGACTAAGTTCCAAAGAGAAGCATGCTAGGAGTAGGATATAAAACAATTAAGTACTTTCAGTTCTGTTTAAGATAGATTTTTTTTTATATATCACCTAATTGTTTTATATGTCACCTAATTGTTCCAAAGAGAAGCATGCTAGGTATTTAAGAATCACCTACAGGCTACAGGTGAAGCTTTTATCAATTTTTATAAGTTGAAATAATGACAGTATGAAACCATTATTAGTTAGAAATTGGATTCATGTCATAGGAAAAATTATACAATTATCATAGCATAAAGATAAATTATAAGAACCTGCTATTGGCCAATTTTCGATATCTAAGTCTTTGCTTGCCAAGACCAACAGCACCTGAGGTCACCAAAATGACTTCATACCCTTGACTGCTAAGTTCTTTAAGCTGAAATAATTTCAATGAAAACACAGCTTTTAGTTACATACACAAATACATTATGATATAAAGGAATATCAAAGATATAAAATCCTGAAATTTTTTTTTGAAAATAGCTTACTATTCTTGTGCTGAAATCATTTGTTATATATATATATATATACACCTACCTGCTCACAGAGAGCTCCAATTCTGCCCAGTGCTAATCTTCCATCACTTCGAGTAACAACAGCTGTTCCAACCTTCGATACAGATGATCCAACAAACAAGTGTATTAATTGCAGAATTAGACTAGGAATTGAGGGTAAAAAAGATCATATTACTCAGCATAAGAAAAATACTATATAATCAATGAGACCATAGTACAAAACAAGTAAATTTTGTACTAAAAAAAGCGAACACGTAATGGTAAATCAAAAGTTAAAGCAAAACAAATTAAAAATCCAGGTAAATTAATTACAGCTTAATATATCATGTAAAATCTCATCTAGATAAATAAATATCTTTATTTCCCTTTTCTATCTTTACACTGCTTCAGAAAATACAATGCCAGCAAAAAAAAAAAAATGATCTATACATTCCAATTGATACACATTCAAAAGTCATCAAAGTATAAAAAATAAAAATCGAACCCAATTTTTCAGCTAGAAAATACATTACATCTTTGTATCATGGTTTTCATAATATTAATTAAGACCATCCTATATCCAACATAAGAGAATGCATGATCTTAAGAATAGTACTCATAATAACATATTTTATTGAAAATAATAATAATAAAGTGGGACCTTGACAACAACACGCTTGACACACTTGACGAAAGCTCGATTGGGATCCATGGAGTCAATGCAATGAAAACGAATAGGACCGAGTGGAGACGAACGAGTTATCTGACTCGGGGAGTGAGTGAGTTAACGAGCGACTGCGTAAAAGGTTAAAACCCCGAGACGACTCGAAGAAAAGGATAATATATAGGTAACAGACTTGAGAGACGCGGCGGTTATGCCACCTGTAAGACTTGGCTTTGTGGGCCCTACAAATCACGGATTCTCTTGTCATTGAATGGTTTTCAATTCGACCAAGTTCCCGATATCCTGGATTTTTTATTTTTATTTTTCTTTTCTTTTATATGAATATTCTTAGGCTTTTAGAATTTGGATGGAAAGAGAAGCAAATAAAGGACTTCCGAGGGTACCAAAAACACGGATAAATCTCCACCTTCATTAGATATTTAATATTAGATGAAAAAAGTAACAGACCATTTAATATGTAAATAATATTTTTTTTTATCTTTTGAAAAAAATAAAAAAACATAAATATTTTTTAAAATTAATATTTTAAAAAAATTATTTTCATTTTTTATAATTGTTTAAAAAATTCTTACTTTAAAAACTAAACTTTAGAGTATATTAAATATTTAATCTAACAAATAAAAATATAAATGATAAATACTATTACATGAATCACTATGTATGTTTGTTTGATTTTTCTCTTGTAAAAACTAAAATAATAAAAAAATAATATAAATTTCCAAAACTGAAAAAGTAAGTAAAATAAGTTACGTGGTCCTTATATTTAATTAATTTTTAAAACAAAATTAGTGATTACTAATTTCTCTCTTCCCCTTCACTATCTTCTTAAAGAAGAATCTAAACAATACTTTAGAAAATAAAATTATTTGAATCAAGAATATATTCACCTTTTTATGTACTAACTATAAAAAAAGCTTTTAAACAAAAATGGTTTTAAAAATTTTCTTTAACGATAATATTTTTAAAAAAATTATTTTTTTATATTACTTAATTTTCTCAGATTAAATATACCATTGAATTTATTTATATTTTTGTGATATAAAAAGTTTGAGTATTTAAAAACACCAGAGACTTTAATAATCCATAAAAAGAATTAGTTTGGCGCTATAAACGATGAAACCAATCATACAATTCCATATAAAAAAAAATTAAATTAGTCAGATTTAGGGAAATATATTTCAAAAAAAATTTAAAAATTTATTTTTAAGAAGAAAATAAACATAGAAAAGATAATATTTATATCTTACTTTATTATTTTTCTCTAGCTATTTATTTTTTATCGTGTTGATCAAATGGACCAAGGATCTAATGAGATATTGAAATTAATTGAAGTCCAACTTAAAAGGATTAGTACAGAAGCATAATTTACAAGAAATTGTATGCAATTAATCCTGAAATATATCAGAGATCCCTCAACAATGAACGTTCACAGAATAAGATTTTTCCTGAATAGTTTTGTACCAGCCAAATACATTTAGCTCCACCCGGCTCTATAAGAGCGTAAGTCAGGGCTCAGGGCCCCCCTTATCTTTTTTTTTTTTCAATGAAAAAAATATTTCATACCATCATAATAATAATAATAATAATTCTTACGCGTATGTGTGGTTTAACTTTGAGAATATTTAAAATAATATCAAAAATAAATGTTGAAATAATTTGTTATAAAATAATATTTGAAAATTATTGTTTTATTTGATGATAAAGTAAAATCAAATTTAAATATAATAATAAAAGTGAGCTGCTGAAAAATTTCAAGTCTCACGCTTAAACGTGATCAAATTGCAACAAAACGATTAAAAAAAACTTTACTTCATTATTGGGTGCAAAATTTACATTTTTAAAAGAGAAAAAATAATAGTACACTATCTTAAATACACTCTTTAATATTTTTTAATAAAATCAAGTCAATTACCTCAAATAAATTAACTTAAAAAATATTAGTAATTTTTAAATAATAAATAATAAAATATATAAAAATATGTAAGATAGCCTTTTTAAAAATAAATTACTTATATTTCAATAAAAAGGGAAATAAATAAATAAAATTGTTCTCTTTATTTCAAATTTTCAATGAAAAAATTGAATAAGACGCGACTACACTTTTTCTTTATTTGCTCTGGACCACGTATTTTTTACTATAAGTTAGCCGCAAAAGAAAATTGTATAAACGACAGAGACAGGCGATGGGTTTTTTTTTTTAGTGTTTGTTTTTGGCTATAAGACAGGCGATGAGTTTGACACAACCAAGTTTAAAACTATAACATCATAAATAAATTATTTAAATCTTATAAGTGACCATAAGTTGAGAAACGTATTCAGTAGCACAAAGATCAACAAATAAAATAAAATAAATATTTTTTTATTTTTTAAACTTTTTCATACTTTAAATTAATATATATTCTTAGAAAATCTTTTTGATCTTAAAATTATTTTAAGTTAATCAGATTAATTCCAAAAAATAATTAGCGTGAATAATCTTTTAATAATTTAAGAACTTGAGAAAGGACTTTGAAAATGAGAGATAAAATTGTTTGTTCTAAAAAAATGCTAGTTGCCTACTTTTTTTAAATATATTACGTAATATTTAGAGTATGAGATGAAATTATAAGTGTAAAAAAACGTAATTATGAAGCAATGCATGAGTAAACGTATGAAGATTTTTAAAATAATCTTAAAAAATGAGAGCAGCCAAAACTTTTGCTTTTGGGGCAGTAAAACGAAACTAAAAATGTTATAATAATTCATAAATAAAATCTAAGTAAAATATCTTTGAAAACTTTAATAATAAAACACATTATTTCTTAATAATAAAATGCATTAAAAGTTATAAATATCAATCATTTTACTGCATAAGCACAGAACAAGAGAATTACTGCAACAAAATTTTAAATTGTTAACTATTAAAAATTAATTTTTTTTTAAGTTTAAAAAAATTGTCATGTTCATAAAAAAAAATTCAGAAATAAATTTAGAAGTTGTTTATAAAAACACGTAAAACAAATTAACAACACGCGTCTACTTTTTGCCACTGCGATGCGGAGAAAAATGACGGCGATTGTGATTGCCAGAGAAACCGGCCATTCTGATAAAAGCAAAATCGCCTTCGTTTTGAGATAGAGAGTAGCACTTCCAGCTTAAAAAGTTAAAACTCTATTTCTAGGACTTTATAATTAAAATAACATTTTAATAAAAATATATAATTTAGATTAATTTATATTTGTGTTTATATTATATTTGATAGTTTTAAATCAGTTTTACTTGCCTTCAAATTAAATAAGAACTAAATCTTTCGTTTTAATAAATATAATTACGAAATATTATTAATACATTTTTAGCAATTTTTTGAATACTAGTATAAAAGATCCCATTTTTAATTTAAGAATAAAATAAAAATCAACAAAATTTAAAGAATTTCCCTAATTTCATTTCAATTATTAAGTTAAATTTAAGAATAACAAAATTTTCATTGAAAGTATATAAGTAAAATTTTATCATTATTATAATCACTTAACTTCGATTTTAAAAATTAAAATTAACAAATAAAAATCTATTTTAGTTTTTTCAACGTGTAAACATTAATTATTTCGGTTTTAAATTTAGAAAATACATGAATATTTTTTATCACGAAACGATATTTATTAAGAGAAAATGAGAACAAAGAAATACAGTATAGAAAAGTAAAATAAACCATTCTTAAGGTTTAAAGAGTAGGGTGTGAGAAGCAGTACCTTGACAATTAGACGCTTAACCTTGGTGACGAAGACCCGAGAAGGATCTATGTTTCCCGAATACTGAGTTTCAGTGGGCGAGTTGAGGTGAGTTAACCCGTTGCCATTGGAGAGGGGCAAGGGCAAGGGCAAGGGCAAGGGCAACTCTGGGGAGGGTTTGATGCTGAATAAGGGTTTATGGCCATTTTGCAAAAGTTCCATTGCTTCTCTTCTCTTTGTTTGTTGTGAGGGAGAACTGATATCAATGAACCAAACCAGCGGGTGTGATGCTCTGTGCAAGTCACCAGGGCTTTTAAAGGCATGCACAGGATTTTTATTTTTATTTTTAATATTTAATTTGTTTTGCTTTATTTACCAGAATTTCTATGTGGTACGCATCTGCATTGACTTCGGCATTTGGAGTTTAGTGTTGTAGCTGATTCTAACGAGAGTTCCGTTTTTTTTTTCTTTTTTTCTGTTTAAAGTTAAAAAGATTATTTTTCCTAAATTTTAATAATAAATGTATATCATAATAATTTCAATTAATTTATGTATATATATTATTATATTGAATGATTTGAAATCAATAACTTCTATATGAGAATCTATCGGCTGCTCTCTCTCAAAGTTTGTTACGTGTTACTTAACTTTTTTCTGTTGTTTTATATAAATTTTTATATTTTTATAAATTGTCTTTGTTTTTTATCTTTTTAAAATTTAAAATTTATTTTTAAGAATCTTATATCATGAATTTATAATTATTAATATATATTAATTTTTATATTTAATTGAAAAATTAACACTATCCAATAAAAGAAATATTTTAAAATTGCATTAATTTTTTATTATTTTGATGTATGTTATATGTAATTATAGAATACAAAATTTTATTTTTTTTAAGTATCAAATTATATGTATATTTATTCTAAAATAAAATAGTTAAACTATTTAAATGAAACAAACACGAGTTTTGTGGCCAGAACTTGAGCATTATAACAGTCCAAAGAGACAATAATTCTCCCTACAAAAATAAAAATTTCACTAAATACACGTATATTTTACATCAGAAGGCTCTTTTAAAAAGAGACTAGGATTCTATTCTAAATCATTTTTATTTTATAATTTATTTTTTTAAAACCTAAACAACAAGTTCAACATAAAAAAATTATGAAAAATTATAAAAAATAAAGTTATGAACAATATTTTTAAAATTCTAGTCATTTATATTAATTATTTTAGCTTACTGAATATAATTAGTCAAATTCTAGGCGAATGTGGCGCAACTCAGTCCATAATTACTCTTCTCTTGATAAATAATAATAGAAAAATGGGTTCACAAGTTCAAATTTGTCTTTCTCTTATTAATTTAATGAGTAAATCTTGCATTGATAAATTATAAGCATTTTTTATTATTATTGTTGATTTCATAAAACTTTAGTGTAATTCATAATTTTAAATAATGTTATATTTCATTGTTTTCAACATTTTTTATTATCCTGTGAATAGGGCTGACTTAAATTTATTTTCTAAAATTAAGAATTAAAATAAGAGTTTAATTTAATATATTACTTGTGTAAATTTAACTAATTATAAATTACTTTAAACTTCATTTTTAATTTAATTATTTTAAAATTAATCTTAATTATTATTTTTTATATCACCATAAACTTAATTAAAATTTATTGACAATGCCATAATTTTTTACATTATCATTCAATTATATATTATTATATAAGCCAAATCTTTCAGTTCTGTGATAATTAATGTAAAAGTCATATTAGCTAACTTAATTGGTTGATAATGTAAAAGCTTTTATATTGACAACATATTAAAATTAATTTTTTTCAATGTATTTTTATTATTAAATAAAGTTTTATAAAGTTTTCTTTAAAGTAATTAATTATTATAATTTAAAGAAATGGTGTAGGAATTTATCATAATTTAATAATCATAAAATAAAGTTTACAATAAAAATGCAAATATTAACATTGGAAATTTAAAGGTTTGAAAACGTGGACGAATATGTAATATTTGAGTATGATGTTATTTAGGTAAGAAAATTTAATTTAAAGTGTTATGAATATTTTTGTGTAATCAAATTAAAAATGACAACTATATAAATAAAAAAATTTAATTTAAAGAAAATGTGCTATAGTTAAGTGAAAAAATAATACTTACGTCAATTTTATAAAAAAATTATTTTATAATTATTGATATTGTTTTTTTAAATTATCACTAAATAGTAAACCTTTAATTGTTCTTGTTTATTTATTAAGCTTTTAAGAGAATTTTATATGATAAATAATTAATCTATTTCGATTCTTAATTCATTGCTTAAATGCAAAATTAGTAGCGGAGGAATATAATAATAAAAGAATTAAAATTAATTTTTAGAAATAATAAGTTGTTAAAAATTTAGAGCATAACAAAGTTTAAAGAATAGTAAGGACATGAAGATTATATAAAAAAAAAACATGAGCACACATTCTGAAATAAATATAATATGATGCCAATTTATGTATGATTGTCAAAAAGTTGCACAATCATGCATGATAATGCATGTCTTGAAGATGAAGTATATGAATGGTCACATGACCATTCTTGTGCTCATTTTGATGTTTTTTTGGAAGTAGAATCATGCATAATTATATAAATGATGCATAACTAAAAATATGACTTTGTTAAATAGATCATGTTGTTTTATGATAAAGTGATTGTTTAGAATTTTACTTAGACACATAATTCAAGTATGTCCGGAGCTAGCCACCTTTTTTAGATTCAACTTAAATTATTTTCATCCTTATTTAATTTTTTTCATTTTTTATTTTTGGATCTATTATTTTCTCTTCCCTATTTAGGAGACTCAATAGTCTATTAGTATATACATTAGAGTCGTCATTATCATGTGCATGATTTCTAACATAGTTAAAGAGTCATCTTAAATCTATCATTGATATTTCTTTTGAGTTATTATATGAACATTTTAAAGATCTACTATTTATCTCAACATCATCTTTTCAAGTATGTTTGATGTAATTAGGGTAGCTTAAGATTTCTAAGCTTAAAACAAACTTAAGAATAAGACCTTTTTTTATTAATAAAATAATTTATTAAAATTATTATAGTTTGATTTAAAATTTATTTTTTAAACTTTTTATGATACAAAATTATTTATAAAATTATCATACTTAATTTCACTTAACATGTCTTTTTTAACAGACAATATAGGTCAATTCATTTAATCTTTGTTAAGATAATATTGATCTTAAATAAATTTTTATTAATTTTAATTTTAAAAATTTCTTTTAAACCAAATAACTGATGTTGAAATCGTTAACATTTTTAACAAAAATTCAAAATTTTCAAGCTCATAAATCGTTGAACAATCAACTTCACTTTTTATTTTAGAATCATCACTAACTTCAATCAATTTTAATAAAATATCTCTTATATTTGTGAAGTTTGAAGTCTTATAAATTTCATACTTTCCGTACGACTTTTCCAACGTATTTATACAACGATTTAAGAGTTAACCTATGTATATGATCTTGTAAAATTTTCTACCTTTTTGTAGGAGAAGAAAATAACGTATATATACATTGTAATACACCAAAAAAAGATGTAGCTTTACGACAAGAATTAGTCATATCACAAAGTACTAAGTTTAGACTATAGAAACTACATGGAGTATAAAGTGATTTATGATTAATATCTAGAAGTCTTTTTTGTACACCTTAATATTTTCCTTTCAGATTAGACTCATTATCATATCCTTGTCCCATGTAATTATTAATATCAAGTTCAACAATTTTTAATTCATTTATAATAGTATCAAAAAGACTTTTTTCACTTATATCATCTAGTTTTAAAAAATTTAAAATATACTCATTAACTTATATTATAGTTGATGAAATATCCACATACGGGAATATAAAAGACATTTGTTCTTCATGACTTATATCTGAAGTATAGTAAAGTATGATCGAATGATATTTTACATCTATAATTTTATGTTATAACTTTGTTTTGATTTCACCTACTAACAAATTTATCAACTCATTTTATATATTATGCCCAAGGTAATAATTATAAATTACATTATTTTTAATTTGACAAATATATTCTTGCACAATTAGATCAAATTTTACAATCATTTTAATTAGATTGAAAAAATTTCCATTACCTTCCTAATAAAGCTTTTCATTTCTTCCATGGAAGACTTAGCTATTTTTACCAATAGTTTTAATAACTACAATAATTTTTAATAATACTTTTCTCCAATGTTCTTTATTTCTATTATTATTATTATTATTATTATTATTATTATTATTATTATTATTATTATCTCATTTTTAAATCAATCTATGCATTCATGTTAGTAATATGTTCAGTAGTTATTTCATGACTCTTCAACTTAGCACTAGGATTTCTCCAATTTTCACTACCTTTGTTATGTAGTTTACTTGTTGTACAAACATAAATAAATAAATTAAAATAAAAACAAAAAGACTATCCAACTCTACAAAATAAATTAGTCATCTTCTTTAATGTTTCTCTCCATTAGGCAATTTTTAAATGTAATTTGATGAAAAAAAGTGTCTAGAATATTTGTGCTTTGAAAAATCTATACTAGTAACTTTAATAGGACATTTTTCTACAAATAAGTCTCTCAAATTTGTATTAATATTTGTCTATTGAATAGGATCATATACATTTTTAGAAGTAAAATTATCAGTCTTTCAATTTGCTCCCCATTATCATGAGTTTGAGAATGAGAATTATCTTTTTCACTAATTATTTTTTTATATTATTATCTTGTTCATTAAGAGAGCACTCAACTGTATTTTTTAATTTATTTTTCTTGTTTGTTTTTATAAATTTATCTGTAGTTCTTTTTTGTGATTCAATTAAAGTCTCAACTCTTCTCTGTTTTTTAAGTTTTGAATGATTTTGTCATATTTTCTAGTTGACATATTTATATATTTTATGTGAAATTAAAAATAATAATATATAAAGTATTGAAATAAGTATATAAAATAAGACTAAGTTAAAATAATAAAACCTGATTATCACAAAAATTAACTTGATCGTAATCTTGAAGTCTCTTTATGTCCTTTGGTAAATATTTATATTTAATTTTCAAATTCCAATACTTTTTCTTTAACTTGCACAAATTATTTTGAGATTTATAAAATAATAAAATAAAAAATAAAGTTATTTTGAGATCAATCTTCCAATTAAAGAACATGCCAACAAAATGCATCGATAAATGATAATTTTTTAATTTTTGGCCTTTACAA